CACAGGTACTACATTCAAGGGGGTAAAGTGAACTCTCCCGAATAAACCAAAGCAAGCACAGTGCCAGTGTCGCCCACGGTGCTGGAGCTGCCGTGCCCCGGCCAGCCCGTGCTTGTGCACCCTGTCTTCTCGCTCCCCCAAATGTTAATGTGCTTTGATATATTTTCTGAATCTTGAATTCTTCCCTCCTTACTGACCTGTTTGGAGACTCCGTGCAGTTTCCTCCGTGGTGAGGCCTGGTGGTTTGCCACCACGTGACCTCACCCCCCATTCACCAGCCCCCCCAGAACGGTGGCCACTCTGGCTGTGGTCATTCATTTCCTATTGCAAACACTGTAAGGGGTCTACTTGGCCCATTTCTCATTTTGCCTGTGTAGAAGGGGGGTCCCTGGACCCAGCCCTAGACAACAGAGTTTGCATCAAGGGGTGTGGCCATCTTAAAGTTTACTAGGAGTGGTCAAAGTCTCCCACCCTGAGGTTAGACTGAATTAAACTCCAACAGCCTGGGCGAGCATCCTGGGTGATGTCTTTTTTTTTTTTTTTTTTGAGCTAGTGGGGGGTCCTTGGGTTCACTCTGGGAAAGGTTTCGGCAGAGCCCCCCTTTTCAGTGGCACATGGTGAGTTTCTCCATGAGACAGAGTCTCAGTTATAGTTAAAGAGCAGGCTTATTAGGGAAAAGGACAGGAGTACTGGACACTTGGTAGGCACAAGCAGACAGGGAGAGCTGCCCCAGAGAGAGGCCTGCATGGGTGCAGGCTGGCAGCCTCAGGACAGCGGCCTCCACCCAGGGAGGTCAGTGCGGAGAAGCCCGGGCATGGTGCAGGTCACAGGCAGGCAGGAGGCTGCTGCCCTGCAGAGGGAGGAGCCGGTGGGAAGAAGCGACTGCACAGTCACAGGTGGGCAGAGGACTGCCCCGTGCTGGTGCAGACTGCGTAGACATCTCTCTGGGAGGGCCTCGCTCCTTGTGAGTTTAGATTTGTGACTTGGAATAGAATCTGAAAGGAGAGGAGTTCTCACATGGGCTCCATCTCCATCTCCATCTCCTTATCTTTTACCTTTTTGCTCTAGACACCGCCCTCAGCTGTCTGCTACCTGCTTGGATCTTCTGCTGTCATCCAGGCATTGGCTCCTGAGGATCTTGATTTCTATGGCTGTGTCAGTGGCTATGCTAATCCCTTCTGCCCCCAGCTCCCTGTGTGAGTCAATCTTGTAAGCCTCCTTCCTGTCCTTTCCTCCATCACTGGGAAGACTCCTACTCAGTCTGCAAAGTGGCATCCCCAGGCTGAGATGTGGTGAGAAGTCTCCAGACCACAGGCCAAGCAGCCAAAGTCCAGTGTCAGCACCTTCTGGGCGGGCCTAGGGGCCACTACAAAGGGCTTGATCCCTGGGGCTCAAACTGTCCTTTATCTAAAACCAACAGGTCCCCAGAGGCCTTAGAGCCAAGCCTGTCCCATCATTCCTCTGGAGGAAGCACCAATCATCCTTTGCCCTTTCAGTCAGGCATAAAGGACAAAGGAGGTACTATCTAACTTTTAAGGATTTGAAAACCTGTTTCTCTCTGGGCTTTAAATGGGGACTAATTGGAAGGCTGATGGTGGAGGTTGTGGGGGAGGGAGCAGGCATTGCTAGCAGTGGAGTGGCACAATCGCCCTGGTTTGTTTGGAGAGAATATATGCTATCTGATCAGGTATCCTCACCCTGATTTTGAGTAGATGATGCCTCTGACACAGTGACACTCTAACACCCTAAATCCTGCACACCTCTGCCTTGCCCACCCACCCACCCCTTCCCCGGGGCCCTGGAACAGAGTGGTCAGCCACCCACACTGGCAGAGATTTTTCTGACACTTGGAAAATCAACTCTTGGGCCTCCCTCATGGTGCAACCGGTTAAAGCATAGCACTATGAGCCATCCACAGTCACTGCAGCACGAGTTTGATCCCCGGCCAAGGAGCTGACCCACATGGCACAGTATTCTCCTAATAAACCTGCTCTTTAAATATAACTAACGTCTCCGTGTCATGGAGAAACTCGCCTGGGGAATTCGCCGCATGCCGCTGAATGGGGAGCTTTGGTGACACCTTCCCCAGGGTGAACCCAAGGCCCCCGCTGCTGTCCAAACTCACCTTATCTAAAAAGTTTGCAAAGTCCTTTTTATGCCTTAGTGGGATAAGAGCCTGGGGTAGTTCAAAGGCTAAATTAACAGCACCCACCAGCTTCATAGGTAAGAATCAGAAAAAGGTGCTACCTTACCAGGCAGGTGAAGTTGCCTCTGAGGGAGAGAGGGGCTCCCTCTGGGTTCTTTGAAGCTGGAAAATCATCAGACAAAAACACTGACACCAGACAAGACATTGAGAAGAGGAGGGGAAGTTAGATGATACTGTGCACCTGCTATGCACGTGCGAGAAACCCAGGATTAGCTTGATTCACTTTACTTCATCTCCTTTCATAACTTAAGCTCCCCATAAAGGATGACAGGAGGAAAGGAGGAAGGGGACCCTTGGGAAGGGCCCACCAGGGCTGTTCTGTAGACTCAAGTGCTTTCTACAATGACAAAAGTCAGAGATTAGGTTTTCCAGATACTTTGAGAGAGAGACCCCAGAAGGGAGATTACCTTGACACATGCAATTGTGTTTTACAAAAGGGCCACTTAGGCCTCCCTGATGGCTCAAGGGTTAAATCTCAGCTCTGACACTGAAACTGCAAAGGCCCTCGGGGCTACCTACCGAGCTGACCCACAGGGTGCAAGGACTTCTCCGGTCCCAACCCTCCCCCCCAAGACCTGCTCCCCTCAGCAATGTATTTCAGTAGACCTGCCAGTCCTGCTCCTCACTCTGTCCTTGTTGAATCCTCTCAGACCCTCCCTACTGCACCTCTGGCCTACACCCAGTTCTATGCAAAAATAAATAAATCTTAAAAAAAAAGGGGGGGGCAACCTCCATCCAGCCTTCAGGGACCCATCTATGAAATAACCGCAGAGATATTTTGGGGTGGCAGAGTTTGTCCCCCTACAACTCTTTGGCTAGGGTCCCTGTGAAGCATACACCTGTATATCCTTACTGGATGTCCTGCTGTTTGAAAACCACTGAAAGCCTCCTGGAGCTAGCACTTGGCATTCAGAGGCTTTTGCCATCTTATCTTATCTGAGCCAGAGTAGAAGTCTTGAAACTTTTTTCACTCCTGACCGCAGCTGCATCGCTCAGATTAAGAGTCCCTATTCCTGTGTTCTTCCCTGGCTCTCACGATTTCTGGGAGAGAACCCAAAACTCAGCATCTGCTTGTGCCTGGCTTTCTTGCTACCGATTGCGAGCATGAGAAACAGTTTGAAGAATAAATTCTGGGTCATCCACTGGCCTGGCCTGAGTCCCTGCTGAGCTTCTGTAGAATCTCTTGCCTTCCTGTTATTGCCTGAGAGTCTGTTTTCATCTCTCCTTTATGGCTCTCTTTGGGGGGTAGAACCATGGCCTATTTATTTTTGTCTTCTAAAACTTCTTTTTAAATTACAAAAGTAGGCCCTGCTGGTGGCCTAGGGGTGAAGTCTCAGCTATCACTCCTACAGCCCAAGTTCAATCTCAGCCAGGGAGCTGACCCACATGGTGCAGCAGACCTCTCCTGTTTGCCCACTGCTCCCCTCAGCAGTGGACTTCAGTACATCTGTCTGTTCTGCTCCCCACTCTGTCTTTAGTGAATCCTCACACACCTCCACCTCCCCGTACCTCTGGCCTGTGCCCTAGTTCTTGAATGCATAAGTAAATAAAATAAACCTTACAGAAAAGAAAAGAGAGAGAGAGAGAGTGAAGGGCCCTCCCTGGTGGTGCAAGGGGTTAAAGTGCAGCACTGTGAAGCAACCCGCAACCACTGTATCACTGCACTATGAGTTTGATCCTCCGCCAGGGAGCTGACCCACATGGCACTGCAGACGTCTCCTGTATTGCCTGCTGCTCCCCTCAGCAGTATTTCAGTATCTGCCTGTTCTGCTCCCCACTCTGTCTCTGGTGACTCCTCTCACCCCCTGTAACTCTAGCTTACACCCCAGTTCTTGTATGCATAAATAAATAAAAATAAACATTTATAATAAATAAATAATAAAAGTAGCATATTCTCAGAGTAGAAAAAATTTCAAACAATAAACTAAAATGTGAAAGTCCCCTTTCTAATCTACTCCTCTTGTTACAGGGCACCCCAATGTGAATTGGGTTGCCCATCTGTGGGTCTTCACCCGTGTGCTTACGATTCAATTGTATTATGGACACACTCAAAAGGTTAAATAATGGATTTATTTATAAGGAGAAAGGTAAAGGAATAACCCAGGGAAAAAGGGAGAGAAGCACAGGTTAACTAGAATGTCCTACCAGTTCTACTGACTTGGACTCCACCCGCATGCTGAAAACCGAAAACCGATTGAGCGCCAAAACGATCAGCTGTGAACCACCAGGTCAAGCTCCCCCAGAGTCCACACGTCCGGTTTTATCCCAACCTGGCTGCTCAGTTCCGCCCTCACTTCCCAGCGTGCTTCTCCTTGGTACTGATGGGATTTGGAGTTCCAGCATGGAGTGGGGGCGGAGTCCATGAAACCTGTACCTGTTACACTCTTTCTAATTCCACTTTTCTTCCCAGAAGGGACCTCTATTACCAGCTTGTTGTATTGTTGGGAAGAGGCTGTCCTGAACAGACTCTACAGACACAGGTTTTGTAGACTCCACCCCCACTCCAGACACCGGAACTACAAATCCCATCATCACCTAGGGCAGAATTGCTGGGACCTGAGGGTGGAGATAAGCAGCCAGGTTTGGTATAAAGGCAGACATGTGGGCCTTGGGGGTCTCTTGGCCTCAGCTTTTCCCCAGCTCTCAGCATCCCTTTGGGATTCTAGGTCTGCAGAACTGGTAGGACACATTAACCAACTTATCTCCCTCTCTTTTCCCCTGAATTATTCATTTCTTCATTTCCCCTGTTTTGTAAATAAACCCTTTATTAACCTTTTTGGGGGTGCCTGCAGTTGAGTCTTATTGTAAGTCCCCTTTAGGCACACAGTCAGGCAACCCATTTCCTATAGGGGTTGTCCTATAACAATATTTCTCTAGAACTTTCCATGTGCAAATATAAATAAGATGCAAGTATATATAAGATGCTAATAAAGCTGCTAACATTTACTGGGTGTGTTACAGGGCAACCCAATGTGAACTGGGTTGCTTGTCTGTGGGTCCTCACCCACGTACTTAAAATTCAATTGTACTGCAGGCACACACAAAAAGGGTCAATAATGAGTTGATTTACAAAGGGAAAGGAAAAGGAACAACCCAGAGAAAGAGAGAGAAAAATACAAGTTAAAGTGTCCTACTAGTTCTGCTGACTTGGAACCCCAATAGCACACTGAAAGCTGATCAAGAGCCAAATGACCAGCCAGGTCAAGAGACCCCCCAGAGCCCATATATCTGGTTTTATCCCAACCTGGCTGCTCAGCTCCAAACTCAGGTACTGGTGTGCTTCTCATTGGTCTTGATGGGATTTGTAGTTCCAGTATCTAGAGTGAGGGTGAAGTCCATGAAGTCTGTATCTGTTACAGGTCTTCACTAAGAGTCAGGTGACATGCTCAGCACTTTTCTCAATTCACAAAACAAGTCTGTCAAGAAGGTGTTTCTATTCCCCATTTAACAAAGTAGGAAACCAAGTAGTAGTCCGAATTTGAACCCAGGCAGACAAGACTTCAGAGCTCATACTTAACCTCTGTGGTTCTGCCACTTGATTTGGGATCTGGAATGTCTTAGACCTTTCTCCATAGTACCCACTCAAGTCTATTTCCTTTTCTAAAACTGCTTAGTGTGGGCCCTCCTTGGTGGCGCAGTGGGTTAAAGCACTGCACTGAGATGCTAAAGCCACTTCCGCATGAGTTCGATTCCCGCCTGCCCTGGAGGTGACCACATGGCGCGGCAGACCTCTCCTGACCCGCCTGCTGCTCCCCTCAGCAGTGTGCTTTGTCCATCTGCCTGTTCTGCGACCCGCTCTGTCTCTGGTGAATCCTCTCGCCACTCCCTGCACCTCTGGCCTGTGCCCAGTTCTGTATGATTAAATAAATAAATCTTAAAAAAAAAAAACTGCTTAGTATTCTATACAATGAATGTATTTAATCCATTCAGCCATCCTCCCACTGACAAACCATTTTAGGATCTCAAAATTGTTCATTTCCTTATCTAAGATTTCATTGGTTATAAAAAGCATGCAATTTCCAAGAGATCAGAACATGAAATAATGTGCTTCTTAGAATTAAAGTATTACAACACCAATGACAATACTGCCAATGAACATTATTCGCGCGTGTTTCATCAGAAGTGTCCCAGATGTAAAACTGTGCACCAAAAATGCAAGTGCTTTTTTTTAAAGTTTGATGGACACTGCCAAAGTCCCCTCCAAAAGACCATATTTTAGTCATCTGTGTCTCCCATTTATTAGCACAATGTCTGGCATTTTTTAGGTACTATATAAATGTTTATTCAGCAACAAAATGCATGACAGGACCCAGCAAACGCAAAACTCTTTGCAAAACAAGCAAACAACCCCTTTCATCCCTCCCAACCCTCCTCCTCCCCCCCAAGCAGGACAGCTATAAGATCAGAATATTTTATCTTAATACGTGTGAAGGCACTTCTTGGGGAAGCACTGGCCACAACAAATGACAAACACTAATAAATGAATGCATTTTACGAAGAATCATGTGTCCAGAGTGATTACTAAATATCTTGCAAGCTTACATACCAAAAGCACTCAATAAAAAAATAGATTAAATTCTCCAGTAGTTTACAACCTCCAAGCTACTAAATGTGAAACATTTCCAGAGATCTCATGGCCTGTCATTTTTTTCAAACACCTGCAAGACTACCTGCATCCGAATCAAAGGAAGTGCTTTGAAAATGCAGATCCTGTACCAGAGTTTCAGAATCATGAGTGCTGGGAATGAGCGCCGGGAAATCTGCATTTTAAACAGGCCTTCCGGGTTTCTATGGTGCTTATAAGCGTGAGCACCAAAGCATGAAAGGGCTCTAAGAAAAGGGGTGTCTTAATTAGATTTTCAGCTTAGCAGCACCCTTGTAGCAGCTGAGGGCAGAACCAAGCGGAAGTGGGCACAGATCCGTAAAAGAGCTCACCACATCATTCAAGCCCCCGGCGGTCGAGAGGACTCTCGCGTTAGTGCGCCGCCTGCCGGCCACCAGCAGTGAAGCCGACTGTCGGGGGAAGAGGCCGATTGCGACTGCGCGCCCCGGGCTGGTGCCCGCTTTGGAGCGCTTGCGACTGCGCCGACCTTAGACCGGAACCGGAAGTGAGGTTAAATTAGCCCCGCGCGCTCCCCGGCCGCACCCCCCTCCCCGGGCCTAGCTGACTTGTGGAAGCGCCGGAAGCGGAAGTTGCTAAGAGGTGGGGTTGGGAGTTGTTGAGAAAGTGTCGGCTTATCTTCGCGCTTCTTGGATTCACGCCGCGGCTGCCCGAGCAGGTAAAGCGCGATTGTGAAACCTCGCCTGGACCTGCTGACCCGACTCACGCCGGCTCCCGGCCCCGGATCCTCGCCCGAGGGGTGTGGTACCCGGTGCTCCGACTTCTTCGCGAGGGTCCTGGGGGCCCCCCGGCTCGACATTCCCCTCTCCCTGCCCTGAGTGCGGCCTCGCCCGGTTTCCCTGTGTCCCCGCAGACCTCGCCATGGGCAACACGAGTAGCGAGCGCGCCGCGCTGGAGCGGCAGGGCGGCCATAAAACACCCCGAAGGGACAGTTCGGGGGGCACCAAGGACGGGGACCGGCCCAAGATCTTGATGGACAGCCCCGAGGATGCCGACCTCTTCCACTCAGAGGAAATCAAGGTGAGAGGGAATGGGGGAGCCCCGTTCCCTTTGGTTACTGTTGCGAGGACCCCCTCCAAAATTCATCGGAAGGGGGAGGGAAGTGACAATCCCGTGCGCTTAAAAACCAGATGGCCCTGGAAGAGCCCTCTTAGCCGTCCGGGAACCTGTGTCCAATTACCGATATTAGCAAGGCCCCCCGAGGGAGGAGGAACATCATTAAGTTAACATCATTAAGAGGAAAGCAGCCCTGGGACAGTTTCAAATTCTTAATTAATTCAGATCGTCGAGGTAGCAGTAATTGAACCCCTGTCTTGGCTTTTCTCTTGGGGATAATTAATTTCACAGCTTTGAGAAGTCTTCCCTCGTCTTTAAGCAGACCGGCTTTTTTCTTTGTCTTCCCCCCTTAAATGGTAGTAGTTGGTTTTGCAGTTTGTCGGTTTTGGCAATAAACCAGAGCATACATGTAAGCTGAAAGTAAAGTTGAACAGTGGAGTGCAGTTGCCCGTTGTTCAGTTCTACCTAAAACTTTTAGTTCACCTGCTTATTTAGAGGGAGCATTAGAAGAGTTATCCAGCTTCCAGAAGTCAGTGGGTGAATGAAGTGTCAGTCCGAAGGAGCTACTACTCGGCCTCTCTCTCCAGTGTTGTTTAACTGTGACTTAATATTTTAAATAGGCCAAAGCAGATATCTTTGCAGGCCACATTTTGGAATTCCTGCTGCAGTCTGCTTTAGTTCATTGAAAACCCTGAAGAGGATTCTGACTCCAGCTTCAGTCGCATCCCCACAGTTTCTAGCTGAAAAGCCCATCCAGGGACACTTAGCGATTGCAGCAGCCGATACACATACTTGTATATCCTGAAAAGCAAAGACCCAGTTCCTTAAAGAACAGACAACAGATGAGTTTAGGGAGCTGAAGTGCCTTTGCTGCGCTTTACGCTTTACTCTGTGCATATCAGTCCATGAGGCTGCTTGCCTAGTAACTCCTCCCACTTTTACTTGCGTTTTTCTTTCCTGTCAGACTAATGATCACATTATTTATCCTTATTTGGATCTTGGCTTTAGGTCTGCCTCTAAAGAAGCCTGCTTTTACTTGGCCTGTTTCCTGTGATTTGAACTTGCTTTCTGACTTTGTCGCATTCCTAAAAAGCTGTGTGCAAAGTGAACTTTGGATCCCATTTTCCCCAGTGACTTGACATTTCATCCCCCAGGAATAATTTTGGCCCAAGAACAGCTAGTTAAGATAGAAGAGTCAAACTACATTCAAGAAGTGGCTACTGTTCTGTGGCTGTTCCAAAACTAAAATATAAAGTTTTGTATACAGATGATGTGGAGAAGGATTTGAAATGGTGCCCATTATCATTTCCTTATAAGCTACTGAGTCGTGTAGCTGATGCAGACCAAAAAAAGTTAAAAGAACTACAGTTTCACTATATCGGCTGTGGGTAGTTATATCCTCAGTGAAAGTGATTCCAGTCTGTTATTCCTTAGTCTGTAGATCTTGTTAAGGCTCCAAGAACACAGGCATTTTAAAATAAGCGCATGTTGGTGTTTTGAAATGTTGCTGGAAGTCTGCTTAATATTTTCAGGTGTCTCTCCCAGTCTAGAGCTCCTGTCTTAAAGTCGTTGGTTTCTTACTAGGAAAAAATGCAAGACACATAACCATAGACATCACGCCCAGGCATTGTAGAGTGTGTTTGCTTCCCCCCTGGTCTGGTACGCCGCAGTTAGACAGCACTTCTGTTACTAACAGCTGCTCTTTACCATAATGAACATCATTCCTTGTCCCTTTCTCCCCTTTCCATGGATGGCACTAAATAATAATTAGTTTTTCCTTTCCTCAGAATCTGCATTTGTCAGGTTTTGTTTGTTTGTACTTTATTTTGCATAGAACTGGGGTGTAGTCCAGAAGTGTTGGGATGGGGGCCAGGAGATTCATCAGATATTGGGGAGCAGAGCAGGCAGATCTATGAAATCCACTGCTGAGGGGAGCAGCAGGGAGACGGGAGAGGTCTGCTGGGCCATGTGGGCCAGTTCCCTGACCTGGGATTGAGCTCAGGCCTTAGTGTTGATAGCGCTGAGACTTAACCCCTAAGCAACCCGGGAGCATCCATTGTCAGTATTTTCAGTTGAGAGCTCTGGAATTGTCCATAATAAATTTTCATGTGCTTCAAATCTTGTTTAACTAAGGGAGGAAAATGGCATTTCTAAGCTAATCTTGGGTTCATTGTGGCCTTCTTCTGGTGAGTATATATTACAGTTTCTTCAAGAATGTTGATGCCTCTTTAATATAGACAGTAATAGCTAGTAATTATTAAGCACTTGATATATGTCACATACCTTGCAGAACATTTCACGTGGACAAGTTGACTCTGTCTCAATGACCTTAAGAAATACTTGTTTTTATTCTCTTCTTTTGACAAGGAGAAAATTGAGGCAAGTCTAGTAAGTTAGCAAGCCCAAATATGGCCATATGTGGTAGAGATACCACTTTAGAAGGACTTGTCACTATTAGGATAACTGCTCTGTTTCTAGGCTCCCGAGAAGGAGGAGTTCCTGGCCTGGCAGCATGACCTGGAAGTAAACGACAAAGCTCCTGCCCAGGCGCGGCCAACAGTATTTCGATGGACTGGCGGCGGGAAGGAAGTTTACTTATCTGGGTCCTTCAATAACTGGAGTAAACTTCCTCTCACAAGAAGGTAATTTCCTGGGGAAATATTCACGTATTTGTCTTCATCCATGCTAGTACTGCGTCTGAATGAGCTCTGCCCTTATAAAGATGCTAAACGGGAAAATAATCTGAGTCCGTGATTCGTGGGGCTCAGATCTCACACCCATGTAGTCTGTTCACGGAACCCTTTTCTTAGAAGACACATCTCAGTTGCCTGTTTCATGGACAAGTCAGATGCAGTGGTGTGAGCATGGGGCTCTTAGAGACACGTTGGCTGAGCTAACCCGTGCCCCGAGCCTCAGAGCTCCGCTGTAAGCAGGGAGTGTCAGAGCAGCTGGGCTCTGATGTTCCGCCACCAAGCTCCGTGCATAAGCCTTGTGTTTGAAAGGTGCGGCCTCTGCAGGCGTCACTACAGTGAGACCTAGCGAAACACTTCCAGGAATTCTAGGGCGACTTCAAGTATCAGTAGAAAACTTCACCAGTGAGTACTCTGGCTGGCATTTAGGGAGAACTGACTGGCCTGACCTCAGGCCTGACCTCAGGCTCGTTGGGACGACCGTCCTCCCCAGAGGAAGCTGGAGAAAGGGAAGCGGGGGGCACAGTTACAGGTCAGTTCAAGCAGAGGAACAAAACAAACAAAAGAGGCTCCTGGAACTTTTTTTTTTTTTTTGAGGCGGTTATACAAGTTTCTTTAAGAACTGTTTGTACACCTACTGAATTGACTCTCTGCTGCCTAAGGCAGACCAACAGGGTAGGACTTGGCAGTGGGTTACCTTGCACTGGAGTCTAGGCTGCCAGGTGTATTGTGCATGGAAGCTGAGAAGGACAAATGCCTGCTTGTCAGTTAACCTTTTGATGTGGTGTGCGGATTCCTGGCATTGGAGCAAGGCAGGTTTTCAAGAGGACCTTGCCACTGCTGCTGCTTTGTAGCTTGTCAAGGTTGAGGTCACTGCAGTATCGTCTGAATCAGTTAGCAGTATTTGATTCAGCTCAACTCTTGGTTTTACATGGAAACGTAGTTTCGTCCCATGGCTGGTTTTGCAAGTGAACTACATGGCAGCCCTCCCGCTAAAACCCTCTGTTCCCCTTTTCCCTGCAGCCACAATAATTTTGTAGCCATCCTGGATCTGCCTGAAGGAGAGCATCAGTACAAGTTCTTTGTGGATGGTCAGTGGACACACGACCCTTCTGAGGTATTCTTCCTCCCGTCCTTGCTCTTCTGGCTGCCCACACGGCCCACACAAATCACTGTCCCTTACAGGTCATTGACAGGTCCCTCTGGGCTGCTGGTAAGAGCCTGTGTGTTTCTGAGCTAGCGCAGCAGTGCTGATGGTCAGGCTGTGGGCACCTTGACTGAGCTGAGCGGGGTGGCCAGCCAGGACATGACCTTCCCGCCAGGAATTCTGAGTCCTCTAGAAAATAACTCCAAGACTTTCCACATTATGATTTTGCCTGTCTGTCTCTTCCCAGCCAATAGTAACCAGCCAGCTTGGCACAGTTAACAACATCATTCAAGTGAAGAAAACTGACTTTGAAGTATTTGATGCTTTAATGGTGGATTCCCAAAAGTGCTCCGATGTGTCTGGTATGAACACAGTTATCTTATACCACGTGTGTGCCGGTGGGGGCTGTGCAGTCTAGAAGTACTCTTGTTTCTCTTGACTTTCGAGCTGAAGCCACTCAATCAGAATGACCTCTGTAACTTCCTTCAGGACCACAAAACTAATGCCCAGCTAGTTCTGTCAGGTCAGGCCGTTGAAATCTGGCCCCAAGGGAGCATTCGGTCACTTTTGTGGCATCTCAGTTAATCACTAGATCTCCTTGGCCCAGAGAGCAGACAGTGGACCCGGAAACAGAGCTTGATCTCATGCCAGGGCAGGGCCCAGGAGGCCCTGGAGAGTAGTCCCGGGTCAGGGATGAGCTAGCACTGGGGCATTCTGCCAGCTCCCTGCCTGCTCACTGTCCCCTTGGGGCGCCTGGAGAGTTGCAGCCTGATGTGATGAATGGATACCTTTGTGACCTTGGCCACCACTGGTGTGGTGCTTTAGAATCTTGTCAGAATCCCTTTAGGAGAGAGACTTGCCACAGGGAACGGGCTACCAGCCTAATCGCAGTAAAGCTTGCCCATCTTCCCAGAGACTTCAGTCATCGAGCTTTCAGTAAACTGCAAGAAACTGGAAAAGCATTGCACTACAGTTCTGGGGGGTTGGGCGTAATCTGAAGGTCAGCGTCACGCACTGCCCCTTCAGAGAGGTTTAGACAGTTCCTGGACCCCTGAGGAACACAGTGAACAGACTCCCCAGGATTGCCTGAGCGGATTCAGCTCACTTTACAGGACGATTCTTCCGCCTACAGGGCCTGGAGGTTCTGTCACCAGCCCTTGCTCTTCCTGGCTGTGAACTCATAGTGGCGAATGGACTGCTGCTCTTACGTGGGGCAGGTCACAGTGTTGATCAGGAATTCGAAATCCAAAAACAGTATTAACCTTGAGGGAAATTATTTCTTCCTTTTCCTGATAGGGGGCTTGGGAGACAGCACCTGCCTCAGTGTCCCTTGGTGCTGGTAAATGTGACTTCAGGTCTTAGATCCGATCTCTAGCCCTGTTTCAGCAGCGTAGGTCACCTGCAAGAGGATGGATCCCTCACTGGTGACCCACTTCCGGCTCTGCACACTTCTTGTACTTCGTTTGCTTAGAAGACATGTTTACTCCTGAGGGCTCCTCTATCTGCACTTAGTGCTTGTCTCAGTTTCCTGCTGTGACACAGTTGGGTCAGTGAAGGGAGCTTCGCTCCTGGGAAGTGACGTCGAGGGATTGGCAGAGGCAGGGCAGGGCGTACCTGACTTACTCTGGACAGCCCGGGGTCAGGTGCCAAGACCCCATCCCAGGAGTCCTTTGAAGAATGGCTTGGTCCCTCTAGCTCACCAGACATCACTAAATGAGCTGCTTGTAACCATCTGAGACCTTACCTCTAGAAACTTCTTGCTGAACCTGTATAATTGACATAATGATGCAAGGATTTTAAAGGTAACTAAGAGTGATGAGAATCAAAGAGCCTTTAGATACTAAGTTCTCTTAATTTTTTTTCTATTTTTGAAATGTGCCAGTTCTTTGTATAACCTGTTTTTGTTTTTTGATTTTTTTGTCACCGCCTCTGTAAAAACAGACTGCTTTATCTTGTTTTATTCCAGCTGGTGGTGCTTAGAACTTGGGTTTAGCTGCTTGAGCTCCACTTACTGCTTTGAACTTCTTTGTGGTACTTGCCAGCCACATTTTTCCACAGTGGCCTGTGAGGTTAAGAAGTTGTGGACAGCTTTCCCCTTAGTCTGCCCCAGGCTCACTGGCTTTGCCACAACTCTGTCTTCCTCCAGGGCCTCTGAGTTCACTGCTGAATTTAATGCCAGTCACCCAGATTCCAAAAGGGGTTTCTCTTTGCTTCTGCTCTTCACCCTTGGAGCCTGGACATCCTCCAGGAGAATATAAATCTGAGTTGAGGGAGCAGGACAAGGAAAAGTAACGCCATACGTTAACTGGGACTTCTTCCAGTCCTCGCAGTTTGCCAGTAAACCTGTCGCCGTCTCCCAGCAGAGCTGTCGAGTTCCCCGCCAGGCCCCTACCACCAGGAGCCCTATGTCTGGAAGCCAGAAGAGCGGTTCAAAGCGCCGCCCATCCTGCCGCCGCACCTGCTCCAGGTCATCCTGAACAAGGACACGGGGATCTCTGTGAGTACTCGGCGGCTGCCTGCGCCACCCCACGGCGGGCTCACTGCCCCCCTTGCTTTCCATCCACCTCCCGCAGAGTAGCTGGGACAGGCTCGGGGCGCCCACAGGCGTCCACCTCCAGGCTCCACCTCTGCCAGGGCGCTGGCTGCCAGCAAGATGCGCCCGCAGTGCGGAGCTGCCTCCTCTCCCCAAAGCCTCGCTGAACTTTTTTTTTTTTTTTTAATTTCGCTGAACTTTTTTTCTGGAGTTTCACTTCATGTCAGCCCAAGCTGTTAATTTTCATGACAAAATTTATAACCACTCCTTCTCAGTAAACTGAATAGTGGACTTCCTGCTCCAGCCCTCAGATCTTAGGGTCTAGTTTTAAATACCAAGATGCTTTTAGGAACGTCAGTGCTCCGGGACTGAATTTTGGGGTACCCGGGTAACACACATTTGTCTGGGAAATTACTGTTAGTCACAGAAAGAGGCCTTTGTCCCGGGTCCTGCCTTGCTCCCCACTGCTCCCCTGTGTTATTTTTCAGCTCTGGAATAGCCATATTTAGGGGAACCGGGGTCCCCGGCAGCTGCTGGGCTGCCACCCGAAAGACACCTGCTGACTGGTGACGGTGCCCGTCTGCTGTCCAGCGCACGTGTTACTGGGAGCTTGCTGTAGTTGGGCAACAAGGTTACCCCATCTTGAGCATGCCCCGAGCACACCTGGCTTGGTTTTGCTCTCTGCAGTTATTTTCTTTAGCTTTTATAAAATTGGGGCGTGTACATTGAAAAAAGAAACAGGTTTCTGGTTCTCTTAGAAGTTAGGAAGACGTGGCTGCGTGAAGTACCAGTGGCGCGCCAGCTTTCACAGAGGCGCAGCCCTGCCGCGGTGTCCCCCGCCCTCCCCGGCCGCGTTTGGTCCACGGCTCAGAAGCGCTGAGCAGAGGACTTACCCACTGTGTTCATCTTTGAAAGTGTGTTCGTTGAGCAGCTTTCTTCCTGCCTGTCCCTCAGCAAGAACAGCACCATGGCCTCTGGAGGCCAGGCCTCGCCAGATGGCCACGTGCCTCTCCCGTCGCTGATGTCCGTGCTCTGAAATCAGAGAGAAGCATCTTGATGTCCAACTCCTGCATGCTCACACCTGCTTTTGTCCCCCACAGTGTGATCCAGCTCTCCTCCCTGAGCCGAACCACGTCATGCTGAACCACCTCTATGCACTCTCCATCAAGGTAACCATGCCGGTTAGGGTGCTCCGAGGCACCCTAGCCACGGGGTTCCCCAGGAGTGTTGAAAGGGTGGCTGCGGGATCCTTTAAGCCCCTTGCATCTGAGGGGACCCGGGATCTGTTGGCCCTAAGCACCCTTGATGCTTCATGCACGTTGGAGCTCGAGCCCCGTGACTCAGCCTCACCTGTCCCTTAGGATGGAGTGATGGTGCTCAGCGCGACCCACCGCTACAAGAAAAAGTATGTCACCACCTTGTTGTACAAGCCAATATGAAGAGCTGGGAGCCGACGGTGGGCCCCAAGAACAGTTGCGCCGGAGGCTTCTTGAGTACATGCTCTCCACCACCGGGATTGGACTGTAAATTTCTCATCTCACACGCTGTATAAGATACTTCATACCTGCCCTCGTCCTACTTGAAAGCTTGTTCCAGAAATGGCTCCCAACGCGCTTGGTTTACAGTGGCCCTCTAAGCGCCCGGTGACCGAGAGCCCACGGCTCGCGTGAGTCCAGAGGAACAGACGCAGGCCTGCAGCGCCATGGCAGCCCTCGGGGCGGGGGCGGGTCTCAAGGCAGGTTCTCTCGGCTGCGGGCTGAGATGTCACCGAAGCCAAAAGTGAGCACTGGCCAAATCGCTGGTGGAATCTGCAGGCAGGGACGAGGCTGCGCAGCACTTCAGCCGCGTGCTGTTGAGGCCACTGGCTTGTCCGCGGGGCCGCTGCGCAGCTGTCCACTGGTGCAGTGCGGGTCTCTCCTGTCCTCTGAAATCAAAGCAGTAGATTGTCTCCCAGCCTCTGCTCCAGGGAGGTGACATTTCTGTAGAGATTAGAACCTGCCTAATTTCCAGATGAAGTTTTACAATTACTTCTTACACTTGTGCACTAAGTACTTTTTTTAAACCAGAGGTGGCTGACTGCAGCCTTCAGGCCATTTTTAAGTCACCTTAACTAGCATATGGATCATGTGAACTCTCTCAGCAATAATCTGTTCTCAGAACAGACTTGGAAACCCACCACCGATTTCTCCACTCAGCTGAATGATCTGAGGACTGACCACTGTCGGCTGAAAGCTTGCCCAGTTTTCATTCTAGTTGTTAACAAGGTGAGGCCGGTCCCACAGCTGGAGAAGTGCCCGCCCCCTGGCCATTACGGCCTCTGCCGCCTCGCTCAGGGCCTCTGCCTCAGCCGAGCAGGGGCGGCGCCTGTGACCGCCTTTGCTTTCTCTGAACCTGACAGCAGCCTTCTAAACCTGTCGGGAAGACACCCTGGGCCAGTGCGAGCCTTCACACTCGGTTTCTAGAGAGAACCGGCGGGAGCTTAGGCCCCCAGCAGGTGGACGCTGTCCGGCACAGGGCTCCCGCTGGGAGGCCCAGAGGAACCAGCGCCTGGTTTCCAGTATTTGTTTGGTAAACCTGAGACCTGGGTACCTTTTTTGTTACTGTTTTCACAACACTGAATTACTATCACTTTGATGTAGGTTTCAATAAAGCTTTGTAACGATAACAGGCCTCGCACTTGGGGAAGCTCAGGGGAAGCTCACCTGCGCCACTGCTGGGGGCCCCCGGGCTCCTGAGAGGCTCATCGGGGCGGGGTTGTTGGGCTTTCCCAAACCACCTGCGCTTGGGTGAGGGGCAGGTGAGTGCCGAGTGCCATGCCCGTGACCCGCCCACCCCTCGGACCTCAGAAGGCTGTTTAGGGGCTGTGAAATTGAGCTGTCGTGACACGAGTGGAGGGCAGGGAGGCGGCAGGGAACGTGCCTGATGCGTGTTGGCGGCGCCCTGCGTCCACGTTTGCTCTTGCACTTCCAAAATCGGAGCCCGTGCCGAGACAGCTTCTGGGAAGACAGGACATTTCTGGAGTCTGTTCTTAGGGTGTCCTTTACGCCCTTTCTTCCCAAGTACGTAGGTCTGGGAGAAAAGGGAACCACATGTGGGTCACTTGACCCTCTTGACGGGTCGAGAGGCTTAGAAAAGTTCCTAGCAGGTAATTAATCACTTCAGTCTGAACCTGAGTGATAATGGGAACCTTAGTACATTCCAGAGACTGGTGATTAAGTCCACGAAGACACAGTCCTT